CAAGAATCTATCAATTATGTAGGCAACTTCAACCGAGGTAACAATAACCCCTATTCTAACACATATAATCCTGGATGGCGTCAACATCCAAACTTTTCGTGGGGAAACCAATGAACCAGCAATGCTCATCAACCAGCTCGGCAACAGAATTTCAATGGCTCCCAAAGATTTCAATCGAATATGCCATGACATAATTCCAACAAGAGAGGGAAATCTTCATCTAACACCAGTTCTTTGGAGGCCACAATGCAAGAGTTCATAGAAACAACGAAGACAATGCTGCAAGACCATGCAATCTCTATAAAAAACCAAGGGGCTCTACTTCAGAGCCACAGTTCATCGCTGAGGGCATTGGAGAATCAGGTTGGTCAAATTACCACGACATTACAAGAACGACGACCAGGACATCTGCCGAGTGACACTAAAGTCACAAAACCTCATGGAAAAGAGCACTGTAGTGTGCTAACTCTATGAAGTGGTACACGAATTAATGCCGAAGATAAGTTTGGGGGGAGATTGAAGGATAATTCACCCCTTGAGACTGTACAAACTGATCAAGAAGTGCTAGAAGAAGCACCAGAGGAAGATGATAAGGATGAGAGTTCATCAAGTAAAGTAACTGAAGGAGCAAACAAAAATTCCAAGGCAAATTCTGTTCCCACCGTGTCAGAACAGGAAGCCAGACCCTCACCTCCTTTTTCGTAAAGACTGAAAAAGCATAACGAGGATATTCAATTCAGAAAGTTTGTTGACATTCTTAGTCAACTTCAAATCAATGTTCCTTTTCTGGAGGCTATGGAACAAATGCCTATATATATTAAGTTCCTCAAGGAGATTGTGACCAAGAAAAGAAAGGCTAAGCAGTACGAGATAATTACCACGGTAAAAGAATTTTGCTCATCCTTAAGCAAGTTGCCACCAAAGAGACATGATCCGGGCAGTTTTATCATCCCATGTTCGATAGGAGACAAATTTGTTGGGAATGCACTATGTTACCTTGGCTCAAGTGTGAACTTGATGCCTAAGTCAATTTTCGTAAAGCTTGGGATAGGAAATACGAGATCCACATCCGTCATCTTGCAATTAGCCGATCGTTCACATGTGCATCCTAAAAGGCGAATTGAAGATGTCATCGTGCGGGTTGACAAGTTCGTTTTTCATATTGATTTTTTTATTCTGGACTGTGAGGTCGATGTCACAGCACCCATCATCTTGGAGAGACCCTTACTAGCTACCGATCGTATTCTCATCGATTGCGAGAGGGGCGAGCTGACCGTAAGAGTGGTTGATCAACATGTCAATGTGAATGTCTTCCGATTCCTCAAGTACATAGATGATTCTGAAGAATGCCAAAGCATTTTAGAAGTGGATACAATAATCACGAAAGAAGCAGATCAATTTTTTCAGGACAACTTCATTCAGCTGGGACCTGATGAGGGGTTATTCGAAGACTTAAAGGCTGGAGAGCCTAATGATTTTTCTATCGAGGAACAACAGGCTAGCTTCCTCAAAGCTAGCCCAAGTATGCATTTTGAACCATTGAATTTTGATGAATTTGTTCTTCCCAAGCCCTCATTACAACATTCTCCTACCCTAGAACTTAAGAATTTGCCACAACATCTTAAATATGCTTATCTGGGTAGTAATGAAACTTTTCCTATGATTATTTCCTCTGCCCTTACTCCTAACCAAGAATCTAGTTTGCTAAGTGTTTTGTCACATCATAAGAAAGCGTTAGGATGGACGATGACAGATCTGAAGGGAATAAGTCCAACTATTTGCATACATAAAATCCTACTGGAGGAATGCCATGGAAAATCCATAGAGCCACAACGAAGATTGAACCCAATCATGAAGCAAGTTGTGATGAAAGAGATTCTCAAATGGCTTGATGCTGGAGTGATTTACCCCATTTTGGATAGCTCTTGGGTGAGTCTCGTCCAATGTGTGCCAAAGAAGGGAGGCACGACTGTGGTGACAAGCGAAAAAAACGAGTTGCTACCTACACATACAATCACCAGGTGGAGAATCTGCATGGACTACCGCAAGCTCAACAAGGCCACCAAGAATGATAATTTCCCTTTGTTGTTCATCGATGAAATGTTGGATCGACTTGCTGGCAAGGCATTTTATTGTTTCTTGGACGGATACTCGGGGTATAATCAAATTGCCATCGCACCGGAGGACCAAGATAAGACAACATTTACGTGTCCTTATGGCACGTATGCTTTTCGAAGAATGCCTTTTGGACTCTATAATGCCCCAACAACTTTTTAGCGCTGCATGCAAGCCATATTTTCTGACATGGTTGAGGATTTCCTAGAAATTTTCATAGATGATTTTTTCTGTTTCTGGAGATGATTTTCAAAAATACCTCGGCAATTTGGAAAAGATATTGAAGCGATGTCAGGAGGCTGATCTCGTGCTAAACTGGGAAAAATGCCACTTCATGGTGACCAAAGGCATTGTTCTAGGCCATAAGATTTCTACAAAGGGCATTGAGGTTGACAAGGTCAAGATCGAGGTGATCGAGAAGCTACCGTCGCCAACTTCTGTCAAGGGCATTTAGAGTTTCTTTGGACATGCTGGATTTTATAGACGATTCATCAAGGACTTCTCCAAAATATCCAAGCCCTTGTGCACCTTGCTTCAACAGAACTAACCGTTTGTATTCGATCAGAAATGCCATGGCGCATTCGAAGAGCTGAAGCAAAGACTTATCTTTGTACCGATCGTAGTTCCCCCAGACTGGGCGACACCATTCAAACTAATGTGTGATGCAAGTGATTTTATCGTGGGAGCTGTGCTTGGGTAACGTAGAGGTAAAATCTTTCATGTTATATATTATGCTAGTCGTACCTTGAATGAGGCACAATTAAACTATACCACCACTGAGAAAGAATTACTTACCGTGGTATCTGCATTTGACAAGTTTAGGCCATACTTGATAGGCACCAAAGTCATAGTTCACACCGATCACTCAGCTATAAAATACTTAGTGAACAAGAAAGATGCTAAGCCTAGACTCATTAGGTGGATATTACTATTGCAAGAGTTCGACTTAAAGGTAGTTGATAGGAAAGGTATAGAGAACCAGGTTGCAGACCATTTATCTAGGCTAGAAAATATTTCTGAATGCCATGACATTTTTTATATTAAAGAAGAATTCCCTAACGAGAAAATTTTATATGCCACGGTAATTCCGTGGTACGCTGACCTCGTTAATTTTCTTGTTAGTGGTGTTTTTCATATGAATTGAACAACAAGGGCAAAAAAAGGTTTATGCATGATGCGAAGTTCTATTTTGGGACGAGCCATACTTGTTCAAGCAATGTGCCAATCAAATGATTCTACGGTGTGTCCCCGAAGAGGAGCAACACGATATCTTACACCATTGCCACACAATACCATGTGGAGGGTATTTTGGAGGTCCGAGGACTGCTGCCAAGGTCCTCCAATCAGGCTTCTACTAGTCATTGCTATTTAAGGATGCCCATAAATTTTGCAAGGCCTGCGACAGATGCTAGTGTACTGGGAACATTTCCAGACGACACGAAATGCCGCTGCAAAATATTTTGGAGATAGAGCTATTTGATGTTTGGGGCATCGATTTTATGGGACCGTTCTCATATTCTTTTGGAAACTTATACATTTTACTCGCGGTGGACTACGTATCCAAGTGGGTTGAAGTGATTGCGACACCAAGGAATAACTCGAAGACGGTGCTCAAGTTCCTTCACAAGAACATTTTCACTCGATTTGGAGCACCAAGAGCCATTATCAGTGATGAGGGAACCCACTTTGACAACAAGCTAATTGCCAAGGCATTACAGAAATATGGAGTGCGACATAAAATTGCCACGACATATCACCCATAAACAAATGGGCAAGCTGAAGTGCCCAACCGTGAAGTCAAGCAGATTCTTGAGAAGGTGGTGAACCCCCGAAGGAAAGGCTGGTCCCCAAAACTCGATAAAGCACTATGGGCATATCGGATGACATTTAAAACACCTTTGGGAATGTCTCCCTTCAAGATGGTATTTGGAAAAGCCTGCTACCTGCCAGTTGAGCTAGAATATAAGGCATACTGGGCAATCAAGAAGCTGAACTTCGACTTACAACTAGTTGGGGAGAAATGACTGCTCGATTTGAATGAGATAGAAGAGTTTCGAGCACAAGCATATGAAAATGCCAAGCTCTACAAGGAAAAAAATGAAGTGGCATGACAAAATTATTTTGCCACGTCATTTTCATGTTGGACAGAAAGTGCTCATGTTTAACTCTAGGCTCAAACTCTTCCCTGGCAAACTGAAGTCACGATGGTCAGGACCATTCGAAGTCCACCATGTTTACCCGTATGGCGCTGAGGATATCAAGAACATGGATGATGGGTCCGTCTTTAAAGTCAATGGCCAATGCATGAAGGCATACCAAGGAGTCTCACCATTACGTGACAAGACTGCACTTTTCTTGCATGAAGTTGATACCATTACGTGACAAGACTGCACTTTTCTTGCATGAAGTTGATACTGGCCCAACATCCTAAGGATGCTGTGACATTTTAGTTTTACTCATATGCATAAATAAATGGTTATTTTGTTACTGCTTTTATTTAGTTTCCTTTTAATTTACTATTTTATTTTCATTTATAAGGTTAGGGTCTATCCAGATTTCAACCGTATCAGCATCAAATTCTGAACATTCTAACCCCACACAATTACAAAAGCGCACACATCGCACGAGCGACGCACCACCACAAGCATGAAGTCAAGGTACCTTGCATTGCATGGAATTTCATAGCATGTAGTTTAGATTTTTCCTTAGTTTTTATTTAGCATTGATGATAATGCTTCTCTCAAGTTTGGGGAGGTAGGGTTCTTAAATCATTGCATGATAGTGTAGACCCCTGTTTTTGACCGGGATTAAAATATATTATTATTATTATTATTATGATTATTATTATTATTAATATATTATTATCATTAATACTAATAATTTATAATTACATATTTTGTAGCTCAAGCCCACTACAACAAAAGCAATCTCGGAGCCCAATGCAAGCCCAATAAAAATCCAACAGCCCCAAAATAATTACAAGTAAATCAATTTAAGCACAAGAGTTGTTCCCATCCATGTGTGAGCAGCAGCCAATCACGCCAATATCTCAAGCTATCGCCACTGTTGGAGCTAATCTGTACAAAGTCAACAATGCACCGAATCAAGGAAAAATTAATTAACCACCGAAAATTGCATCAAAGTCGATACTTGCTCAACCAAATATCACCAAACCTAGAGAAACTACTTGTAATTCCCAATTCTCTTCGAAAGAAATAGCATCTTATTAAGGTTATCTGTTTATTCATTTTCCTATGGTTTTAATATAATGTGTGTGTTTTGTTTTGAAGCAAAGAGCAATAAGGAAAGAAGTTAGTCTTCATTACCTTTCGGTCGTGCTAGGTGGAAATTAGAATGAAAATGGCCACCGGTTTACGGTGGTCAGCGTCGGCTTTGAAACTTTTGGGGTTTTCGGCCAATTGTGAGAACGAGAGCATTTGACTGAAAAAACAACACAATCATCATTGTTTTAGATTTCAAAAATTATAATATTCATGGCAACCATTCAATCTAAATAAACGTTAGAAACTAAAGCTATAATTGTTAAAAAAAATACCCGAAGCAACTTCTCTGTTTTATGTAACAATAAAAATTTAAAGGTTTGTTTCACCTCATTCTCAATTTCCAGTGTATGTGGCGTGTGTGTTTTATTTCAAAATAGGAATAATAAAGTAGAGAGTTGTGAAATAAAGAATAGAGTTAGGGGAAGAATTTACTTATAGGTCGGTTGCCCTTTTGTCGATGTATCACTGTCGTCGGAGCTGTGGGGAGTTGTTCATATCTTTGCATGTCAATTTTTTGGGTTTATTTAACATGATAACATCCATCGGGGTTAAAAAAAAATAGAAATAATAAGGTTTAAACTTACCGTAATATTTCGAGCACTACACCATTGTTGAAGATTTTAAGCATAGCACGAGAGGGGACAAAGGTCGTTGGAGTGAGTGATGGCCGTTGGTCGGGATTTATTTACCTTGAGTGATGGCCATGAGAGTGAGCAGAGTGTGTGGAAGAGAGGAAAGAAAGAAACTGCGCACAGTAAGTCTTGAGAAGAAAAGATGTGAAATTGAATGATAATTAGGGCAAAATATTATAAAATATAATATTTCTTAAAGCAACAAAACGGAAGCATTTGATGGAGGAGAGATCCCGTGTTTTACGAAAAAGGAAATTTTTAGTGAGCTCATTTAGGTTCTTGAATTATTATATTTTGGTCCTTGAAATGGATACTTCCGAGCCTTTTAATTTTTTCTTCATAGTTTATGCGTTTTTATTTTGGCTATTTGTTAGGTTATTTAAATTTACATTTTTTTACATTTGATATGCAATCTTTTATTATTTTAGTTTAATCCTTTGTATTTTCTTTGGTTATATTACATTTGGAAAGTTTGAATATTGAATTGTTTTATCTTGTTATTTACTTTATTTATGATGTGGTCATTGAATTCGTTCTATTTGTAGTCAACGTTTAAGTTTTTTTTGGTACACATATGTAAGGATAATTTAGGTTTGCTTTGAGGGCCTGCTAACCATATGTTCGAATCATTATGATACTTGTAAGTAAATAGTTATTTTAAGCATGTTGTTCATACGCATATATTTAGGTGTAATTTATTTTTATATGTATGTTACTCATGTGCATAACTTGATCTAATTACATAATCGAATTAAGGGTAACACCATTTTAATTTAAAATTGTCAAAATGGCTTTTCTTAACTTATAGGTTCTTGACGATTTTGAATTACAAGTGTATCCCGTCATTGTCACAATTTTTTTTCTTTACTTTAAAATTTGGGAGTGAAAGAAAAAGAAATGTTCGACTATTTAAATTTGTTGAGAAAAGATCGTTAGAACTGACCTAAAGATCTGATTTCAATGTTTTTAAATAATCGAATATTCTTTATCTTTCTAATGGTTTGATAATTTTAATTTAATCTATTTCGTTGCTTTTCAATAATATAAATTTTGCATTTTTTAAGGGATCATAAATCAAATTAAATTCGAACTTGTGAAATTCGTTCCAAAGACATTAATTAATCAACTAGGTACCGATTTAGGGCGCTGTGGGGTGTTAATCCTTCCCCACGCGTAACCGACTCCCGAACTCATTTTATAGTAACGCAGATCTCTATTTGTCATTTTAATTAAAATTAATTTTTATTTAAAATGACAAAATGTTTTTGGGTGCCCAATCACACCCTAATCAAGGATTGGTGGCGACTCTTCGAACCGTTTTTTTATCGTAAAGGAAATCCCAAATTTTTCAAAACGAGAGGTTTTCTAAAATCGCATTGTTTTTAATTAAAAATCAATCAAAGAAATCAATAATTAAAAATGACGTGGTTTTCAAAATCTCGCTCGCCCCACTTTAAAAATCGTTTCGACAGCTTGGCGACTCTGCTGGGGACTTTTTTTAAAGAGTCAGGCCGATAGTCGATTAATTAATTGTCTTTGCAATTGAAAGGTATGAGTTCGTTCTAATTTGATCTTTGATCCCTTGTTTATTTTGAATTTCTTGTTTGCATTTTAATTTGTAATTTGGTCAACGAATAAATAGTTGTACTAATGTGTGATTTACATGTTTCAGTTCTCTGACCTTCATTTTAGTTTGTTGATTATCTTGGATCGAGGAAAAGGATTATGAGTTTCCCCTTATTGCCGCTATATCATTTCGATATTTAGAGCATTCTAATTGTGCTCTATCCCGTTAGGTAGGGGTGAACGCTACGCTTACGTGAGAAAAATTACTTTTCTCCGCATGGGCTTTAGCAAGTAACCTCTGGGGTACATGCCTTATGTTTACGAGTGAAACATTGAGTTTCCTCGCATGGACATAGGGAAATGTATCCTATCAAATTGAACTCGATCCGTTTTAAGCCTATAATAGGTAAGGATCGAGGGTCTGGCAATCTCAAGGGGGCACCAGCAAAGGATAATTCGAGGACTCTTTTTAGTGATGCCAAAACTCTGCTCGTTTTATGTCGAATCTCTGTCCGTAGACGTAAAGGGGAAACTCTTTCTAACCTTTTCCTCGAATTTATTTATTTTTGCAAGAAGCATGAGAACTAGAAATGCATGCGGTTAGGTTTTGTAATTTCGTATGAAGCATGTAGGTAGATACCATGTTGGGTAGGACCTACTAAAGCATGATTGAGTACATACCATGTTGGGTAGATACCATGTGAATAAGGTTTAGGATGTATATATTTTCTATCTTCATATTGTTTATTTTATTCTTCGATTATTCATTGTATATACTAACACAATTTTGTTTTTGTTTGTGTTTTTATGTTTTATTTATTATTGCTGCATTGCATCATCATTCATGAAGAAAGGTGTTGGTTCACGAAGTGGTCATCAAAGTAGAAGGCGGTCATAAAATGGACAAGAGCTTTCACAACAAGGAAATAGATAACGCGGAAGTGAGATCGTGGTCCGAGGAAACTCAAAGAAAGAAATGAGACAGTTTGACTGAAGATTATATATCGGTACTACCAGAGGTTGCTCCGGTCAGTCTAAAACAGAACGATATGCAAATGTTACGTGAAATTTGGGAGAATTGGAATTCTGATGTGAAGTACTCCTTCTGGAAAAAATACGATGACATAGGCCTTCTGTTGTATGTGAAAGTAAACGAGCCCCTGATCAAAGCCCTTATCCAGTTTTGGAATCCAGCGTATAGTTGCTTCACTTTCAACAAGGAAGACATGACTCCCACGTTAGAAGAATACACCTCTTTGTTTCATTTCGAGACGGTACACTTGGACCAAATCTACTCAAAGGCCACAAGAATGCAATCCTTCAAGAGAAAACTCGCGAAGATTACTGGAATGGGAGAAAAATGGGTCGCTGATCGAATCCAAAAGAAAGGAGAGTCTGATTGCTTCCCTTGGTCGTTCCTTAAAGAACTTATTGTCAAGCATAGCGATATCGAGAAGAGCATGGAGATGTTCTCTTTGGAAATTTATGGTTTGATGATTTTCCTGAAAGTTCTTTGTCATATAGAAGCCGTTGTAGTCGATTTATTCGAGCATTTGGAGAGGAAGGTAAATCATGTTTCTGCGGTTTTAGCCAAAACATTTAGGGCACTTAGCAGTTGCAAAAGAGCCGAGAGTAGCCGCTTCACTGGATGTATCCAATTGCTTATTGTTTGGATATGCAGCCACTTCTGGAAGATTGATCAGGAATATAATCGTCGATTTTCTACCGCCTATTCACCCTTAAAAGATTTCCTCACAAAGGAATGGCCAGAACATCTCACCAGGAAAGATTGGGTTTCACTCTTCAGAAATCTACAAGAGCATGATATAGTATGGCGTGTCCCCTGGTTAGTTTTTGTTGATGTGTTGTACAAATGCAAGGATTCGGATTGGGTGATTCTATTAAGATTATGGGGTGGAGTAGGTTATGCTCCACTAATGGTACTAAGATAATTTGGGGTACGACAATTCATCCCAGCTACATTTGATCTAAAGACATCTGAATTTGTGTACTTTGGAGATCACTACAAGAAAACTGCTCGCACAATGTCGGATGCATGGAAGTCAACCTTTAGAACTGATTTGGTATCAGCTGAGGTTATGTTGACACCAGATTATGTTGCATGGAGAGCTGTACGGAAGAATGATGTCATCCCTTTGGTAGATCATGATCAAATAATTCCTTTCGAAGAACAGTTCATATACGTACCATCTAAGTTGGAGATACTGAAGAGCGAATATGAAGCAGAAATCGCCAGAAAGGAGGCAGAGTGCGAGGCTCTTAGGCAAAATAATTTTATGTTGGACATCGATAAGGAGTTCTATAATAGGCAATTTGAGCTTATGCGCCAGAGAAAAGACGAGGTCGAGGCTCATTTCGCTAGCTTACAGAGTGATTACCAAAGGATGAATCGAGCATAGGAATTTGCTTACCTCGGAAGAACTTTGGAGCAGTGGAGGTTAGAGCTCAGGACTGAAAGGGATCGTCGAGTTAGAGATGTCAGAGCCGAAAGAGAACGCCGAGTCAGAGAAATAGATGCAGAGAAGAATAAAAGAAATCAAGAATTCGAGTTCGAGAGGAAGTCTTGGGTTAGGGCACTGAAGAGCGAAAGGAAAGAGGCTAAAGAGTTAAGACAAATGTACACTTTGAGCAAGAAACAAGAAGAAGAATTGCAAGCTAATATTGAAGAACTCAGAATGAAGGCAAATAGTATGCAACTTGAACTTGAGACTAGAAAAAAAAGAATCGAAGAGCTCAAAACTGAGAAGAGGCAAAGCAAAGAAGAGCTAAAATTAGAAAGACAACATCGGGAGAGTGTGCTCCAAGGCAAACAAGATGAAGTGTTCCTCTGGATACAAAGATGCGAAGCAAAGAATGAGCGGATAGAGGTACTCAATCAAGAGATGCAGGAAATGAAAACAAGACATGAGAATGAGTTAGCTCAGGCTAAGGCGAAGAATGAAGAGTACAGCGCCTATATTATACATCTTGAAAGTTCTTTATTTGCAGAAAGTTGTCAGCGCTGCCTAACAGATCTAAGAGTTAGCCTTGAGGAAAATGCTACTTTGCAAAGAAAGATTCATGATTTAGAGGCTGCCTTACGAAGCTGTCAGACAAAAATCACTAGTCTTGAGCGCACCGTCCAAGATACCAGGCAATATGGCAAAACTCAAACGATCGCTTTAGAGATTGGAAGACAAATGTGAATCATGTGATCCGTGAAACCATGAATCAATTGAGCGGTGTTGTGAGGCAGTTGGGAGAGATGGACATCCAGGCAAGGGTCATCCAGAGCTACACAAATCCAGCATCAGATGTGGGAAAGAGGGTCGATTGGCTTGTTAATGAGATAGTTGAGCTGAACATTAGAGCTAGGCCTTTTCTGTAATAGATTTTCTTGTAACGATGATGCTTTTTTCCTAAATGAAAGTTTTTCTAAGACTGATCACATCTTATGAATCAATGTCTTTCTGCATACATTTGCATTTTATTTTAAGTATTATGTTATGCATTTTAATTATATTTCATCATTTTATTCTCGCATAGTTTACATTCATCCTCAAAAAAAT